CCCTCGGCTCTGCGATCGCAGCTCTGGCGCGTTGCCTTGCGGCGGTGCCCGCCCCTGAAGAAGCGCGCGGTGGTGTACCTGCAGCTGGTCTTGCTGGATTGCCTCTCCAACCAGGTTTTCTACCACTGCGTGGCGGAATTCTCCTCCCGGTCGGCCACCTACTCCAAGTTCAACACCGTGCGCGTGCTGGCCGCCTCGTCGGCGGGGCACCCGTCGCACGGGCTGTTCGCCCATTCCCCGGCCCACGGGCACTCGCCCTTCGGATCGGCGAATTCCCTGTCCCCCTCGCAGCCCAGCTCCGTCCGTCGCGTGTCCTCCGTCGGCAACATCTCGGATTTGAGCCGGCCCACGCCGGCCGGCGGCCAGGCCGCGAGTGGCGGCGCCTCCCCCGGCGGCCCGCGGCAGCCGCCCCTCCGCGCGCGGGCCTTCTCAACCAGCAGCCATACGCTGCTGCACGCGCAGCACCCGATGACACGCCGGGCCCCGGTTGGAGCCCCCGCCACCCCGGCGGCCGGGCGCACCGCCTCCGAGCCGGCGGACGCCCGGTCGCCGGGTGCCCTGCCGGCGGCCGGCGGCTCCAGCAGCCCTCCCTACGAGCACTCGCCCCCTCGTACGACGTCCCTCCCGTCGGCCGGCACCGGCACCGGCACCGGCACGGCCGACTCGGCGCCCCCCTCGGACCACCGGTCTCCGTGGGCCTCGCCCCTGGCCAGCTGGACCCGGCCCTCCAGCGCGGTGTCGGCCTCGGATTTGTCCGCCGTGCGTGTCGGCGCCCCTGGCGGTGCCCCTCCTTCCTGTCGGTCCCCTTGCTCCCTTCTCGCGTCCCTCTTGCTCCTGGTCCCCCGGCCCCCGGCCCCCTCGGCTTCGCTCTCCCTGCCACGCATGCGCGCCCCCTCCACCGGCTCTCCGACTCACCATCCGCCCCCCCCCCTCCTCCTCCCGGCTTGCGCGCCCGGTCCGACCTGCAGAGCGACTTCGTCATCACCAAGCACCAGTTCCCCGAGTACGATGACTCGCCCCCCCCGCCGGCGGATCCCCTGCACCAGGACTTCGTGCTGCCCCTGTACTCGCTCGACCGGCCGACCTCCCTGCTGAGTCTCAGCTCCGCCGGTGGGGGTGCCAGCGCAAGCGGCACCGGGCTCTCGCGCGAAGTATCCCCCACCCCCCCGGGGTCGCGCTTCCCCCTGTCGACCGCCGGGAATTCCCTCTCCGGCGGACACCCGCGCGACCCGGTCATCCTCCCGCCCTCGGCCAGTGACCCGCACTTCGACCTGACCCTGCAAGAGGGCCCCGAGACCTCGGACTCCGAGCCGCTTTCGGCCTGCCCCTCGCCGCTCGGTGCCGATCGGCTCTCCTCCCTTCACATTGCCTCGTCGCGGGCCGAGGGCCGCGGCCGCCCCGGCGACACCGCCGCCCCGCCCAGCGCCACCACCTCGCCCGGGGGCACGCCCCTGGCCCCGGACGCCCCGCTGGAGTCCATCTCCTCGCTGGACAGCCTGGATGACGACTTCTTCGATGTCAACACCGAGGCCTTCGACTTCCCGCCGCCCAATGCCGATCCCAATGCCTCGGCCGTGTCGGACTCCCCTGTGCGTGCCATTGCGCCCGGCCATCGGGCCCCGGGCTCGTGTGCCCCCTCGACCCGGCTAACATGCTGCCCCCCCCCCCCCCCCCCCCCCCCCCCCCCGCCATGCCAGCTGTCTCGGCGGTTTGCCGTGGACT